ATCACCCTAACCCTAACCAATCAGATTTTTTAGCTTCAACATCAGCCAAACTTCAGCATCAGCCGTCACAATTATTTTCACTTTCCGGGCCCTATTTGTAAATTCCCCTAAAAATAAATATAAAATTAAAAGTTCCTAATTATCATGTGACAATGCACTATATATTGTAAAGTTACATTTCAATTTCGTAAATTACAATATAATTTACATGAAACGTAGCAAAGTAATTTATGTAATACATCCCTACATGTAACTTACTGTAATCTACCCGGCCTATATGTAAGTTACAAATAGCTTTAAAGCTAGCCGAATCACGTAACAATTTTTACCAGAATTAACATCAACTGTAATGGCTAAAAATTTGATATATGACGCAAACATATGTTAATCAACTTTCATAACTTACAAGTAATTTACGTAAGTTACAATAGAACTTACATTGGTAAAATACATGTAACTTACATGTAACTTACATGTAAGTTAACAACCCTAGTATAACTCAACATAAAAACGAATTTGACTTGTAACATATAGACAGTTGTAAACAGTAAATTTAAACACTTTTAAACATTTTTAAACAATTAAATAAATTAAAATTATTCAAAATTTTATTAAAATATGGATACTTCAAATTACAAGAAATATTTATCCAATCAAATGCACTATTGAAATGCCTTAATTTGTCAGTAATATTTATTAATCAAAGTATTTTAAAAAAAGTATTATAAAAATATTAAATTTTGGTGTTTTTATTTGATTTGAAATAAAAATTACCTTAAAAAGCAGGACACCTGTGATGCTAACATCTACTCTTGTATTATATAAGCTGCATTTAATATATTTTACATAATTAAACTTGTAAAAATATAACTATTTATGTTAAAAATAGCTCTATTAACTTTATTAAAAAAGGATAAAAAACCGTCTAGAGAAGAAATGTTAAGATTAGAAGAGATTTAAATGATCATTGTTTTGCTCAATCATTTTGTTATAAAATTTAAGGATAAAAACCTAGCTCTAAAAACATTATAAGCAAGTGGGAAAAGGAACGCTATTCACACATGCAAGGGAAGAACAACATAATTCAGGACGAGAAAAATCACATCGTTCACCCGAATTAGCAGAACAACAATAGTTAAATTCATAATTAGTTGTAGAACATCTCAAAGAACAGCATTGTTCTGGATGACTCGAATTACATTGTTTGAGTGGTTGATCAACACAAGGTGTTTGTGTAGGTGTAGGCGTAGTGCATGCAGTTTTTGTAAGTGTACAAGTAACCGTTTCTTTATTATTACTTTGTTTTAAATGATTATGACGGTGTTTTTTTTGATGATTTCTTCGTTCATTATTTGGGGGACAACTTAGAGTAGGAGTAGGGGTAACTGTGCAAGTTGCCGTTATCGTCGTTGTGATGGTTGTGTACAAGGTTCGTAGGAATAAACGGTAATAGTTGATATTAACAAATAATAAAAAAGAATGGTCAAAAGTAAATTTTGTCTGTTCATTGTTAAATTATTTGCAAATTCAATTTTGAGTTCACTAAGATCTTAATTGTTTTATATAATTTTTTAGGACATGCACTTATAAATTTAATTTTGTCCGCTTAATTGCCTTAATATAAGTGCATAATTGATAACAATGATAGAGGTAGTACTCATTTAAGTGACATCGAGTTTGCCCTATAAATTTAGTAATCAAAGAAAGAGAAAGTAGTTATTTGAATAATAAAAAATTATCCATACATATGTTATTTACTTAATGTTGTAATGAAAACATCGAATTTATTGAATTATTGTGCAAAATAAAAATGTATGTAATCAAAAATCTGAGAACAAATGATAAGAATTACTATTTGCAGTTAAACCTCTCTCACTAAATACAATATCTTTTTAAATGCATGTTTGACCGATTTTCTTTGCATATGGCCCTGTTATAGTGCATTTGAAGAGGTCTGGCTGTAGTATTCGATTAATAAGACGATCAAAAATGCACAAATAATTCAATTGTCACACAAGCCTGATTGTTTTTTATTATTAACGTTAAAGATATTCAATTTTGCCCCGCCCAATCTTTCCATATATGTAATAGCTATATGCATATGCGAACAAGATTGAATCAACTTTTTACTGAGTTTAGATTAAACCGTTCAGTTTTTGGTAGCTAGTGTTGTCGTTGTGCATGAGATCTACAGTCAAAA